CTGGGAAGAAACCAAGAGTGAAACTGAAAATTATACAGGATATACGTGAGAGAGGAGGTCTTAAAATGCCTAATTTAAGATTGTATTATGAAGCAGCAGCTTTATCACAAATTAGTGACTGGTTTAACTTAACTGAAGAAAGAATGTTAAACATAGAAGGTTATGATTTGTTATATGGATGGCATGCTTATTTGTTGTATGAAAAAAAGTGGATAAAGTATTTAAGGGTCATATACTTAGAAATGCATTGTTGAGGGTTTGGAAAAAGTATCAATATACGCTGAACTATAAGATACCTATATGGGCAAACCCCAGACATGTAATAGAAAATATAAGTACAGAGCAAAAAATAGAGGTGATTACTTATAAAGAGCTTCTTCTTTTGGAAAGGGGCAAGTTGCAATTGAAATCTCTAGATGAATTTAAAGAAGAAGGCATAATTTATACTTGGTTTCAGTATGGTCAGCTTCAAGCTAGATAGAGGGAGGATCAAAAAATTGGGATTATGCAAAATGAGGAAAATTTGGTGAAAAAGTTCGAATCTTAAGGTAAAGCCAAGACCAAAAAGGTCAGGACGCACCACTAACTCTATTTTTCAATTAATGCATATGGACCTGGTAGGCCCACTTAAACCTTCTATTAGATACAAAGAAAGATTCTTTTTTACAATTGTAGATGGATTTAGTCGTTACGGCTTTGTATACACTCTTAGGAAGAAAAGCAAGGCATTCCAGAGTTTTACAAAAGGATAGAAGTCCAACATAACATTAGGATCAGACAAATAATGACAGACCAAGGCTTCGAGTTTATGTCCAGGGATTTCTCAAAATGGCTAAAAGAACATGGCGTATTGCGTTTCACCTCTTCTCCTTTTTCAGCCTTTCAGAACGGAGTGTCGGAACGCAGAAATGGAATTCTCCAAACCATGATGAGATGCATTCTAGAAGATGCAGGGATGAGTCAGGTTTTTTGGTCAGAAGCTCTCTTTTACTGCAATTATACACTAAATAGACTATGGTCCAGCATAATAAACAGAACACCATAATGCACAAAAGAAAACCCAACCTAGCACACCTACATGTATTCGGTGTCACCGCTGATGTTCACATACCCAAACAATTAAGAAGGAAAGGAGACAAGGTCTCCAAGAGACTGAGATTCATAGGATACGAACCAGGGACAAAAGGTTTTAGGTTCATAGACAATAATAACAAATTCATAGTATCACGATCAGCAGAGTTTCATGAACAGTCCAACTGGTCAAAAATACACTTAAACGATATTTTCTTTAAAAGGGAACATTCTAACCTCAAACAAGATAACAGAAACCAAGACACAGACAATGCAAAAGAACACAAAAAATATAGAACTAAACATCATGAGGTTAAGATCAAAGAGTGGAAGGAAGGACACCCAACATTAAAAATAGACAAACCTGGGACTTCCGGTGGCACCGCAGGTGCCGAGGACGCTCTTTTCTTGAGCGGCAGCCCCGCGATCTCATAAAGCCGCTAGAACAGTGCAAATCAGCCGTCTAGTGGCTTGAAAACTTTCTCCCCGGGAAAAGGGGAGGAAGAGAGCAGACAGGAGCCCCAGGAACAATTCTGGGGCTCGAAGAGTGAGAGTTCCCTGGAAGCCCGACAGAGCTCCGGATCTGGGACGTTTCTGCTTCAAGCAGAAGAAGATGCCGCAACCACCCCTGCAAACAATGCTTGAATAAACATCGTTCGGAAGCAAGCTGAGCAAACTCAGGAGAGATTAGATCTGCAAGTACTGAGCTTTAACTCCAAATGAGTATTACTTCCTTCTGATTTATTAAGGGGAGAAAGTGAAACCAAGATGGCGATTGACCTTTAATGGGGCGTGAAAGTGAAAGTTAAAAAGGAAAGTTTCTTTTAGAGTGGCAGCCCCTGTTCAAAATCAGAGATTTGTGGGGGTTTTTTTTTAAAAGGAGAAGATCAAAGATTACAGCAGTGATTTTTAAAAAAGGATTGATATTATTTAAAGACTGATTTCTGGGTTTGGTGGATCTATTGTTCTGGCAGCTGATTAAATTTAAATGGGAAACTATAATTGGCTTCAAAACAAATTAAGGCTATTGTCCCCAAAAATGCTGGGACTTTGCAACTAAGAGAAGAAAGGACAATTCGAACATGGTTTCAATATGTACAGTTGCAAGCTAGACGGAGAGAAGATCAGAAAATTGGTTTTTTTGCAAAATGAGGAGAACTTGGTAAAACAGATTAGAGATCAAAGTCAAATGCATATAAAAAGGTTGCATAATGTGTTGGTAGAAATAGATTCAGAAACGGAGTTAGTTAAGGACTGTATGATAAAGTGGGCACAAAATATTGAAGAACCAATAATAATGGAAACGTGGGAAAAAATATGAGTTAGAAATGTCAAGTTCACACAAGCCCAAAACTTAAGAGAGAATTTTTATAAAATGTTTTATAGATGGTATCTGGATCCTAAAAAGTTAGCCCATATGTATCCAAGTGTGCAACCAAAGTGTTGGAGATGTGAATGTGATGATGCCACGTATTATCATATATGGTGGACATGTAAAAAAATTAAGGCATTTTAGATAAAAATATGGTGGATTATTCAAAATATTCTCAAGAAGAAGATAAAATTTACTCCACAGTTCTTTTTGTTAGGCATAATTACAGATTGTACTGTTATAGAGACTAAGTTGATTTTTAATTTAATAACAGCAGCCAGACTCTTGGTGACACAGTACTGGAAGAAGGAAGATTTGCCTACTATTGAAGAATGGACACTAAAAGTAGTGAATTTAGCAGAGATGGCTAAATTCAGCGTATTTGAAGGACAATTCAAATGAAAGATATATATTGGAATGGAGAAGATGGAATGACTATATTCAAAACAAATATTGGACTAAAAAGTTTCAAATAGCTTATGAATGAAATCTATATTTCCTTCTTGAATATGTTTAGTTAGTTGAAAGGGGAGTTAAAGAGCAAGGGGGAGTTTGGAGACCACAGAAAGTTTGCTTATTTTAGCTTATGTTTGTTATGCTATACCCTGTTTTTGCTCTGGGAAGTCCAGGGGTTGGGGGTTGGGAGGGGGGTTGGAGGGGGGATGGGGGTGGGAGGGGGAAAAGTGTTGTAATGGTTGTTAAAACTTTTTAAATAATAATAAAAAAGAATAGATAAACTCACTGATAAAGAAGCCAAATACCTACACCTAGCAGACACACCACCAGACAGGCCAGTCAGAACAAATAGGTACAAAACACCCAAAATATTTGAAGACTATATTGTTTCCATACATACATATAACACCACTCCTAAATCATATGAGGAAGTACTCAAATTGCCCCAGGAAGAAAGAAAGAATTGGGAACAGGCCATGGCAAGAGAAATGAATAGCCTCAGAGACTTACAGGTATATAAACCAGCTGAAGCACCAAAGCACAAGACACTAATTGGAACAAAATGGATTTACAAAATCAAACCTTAAGAAAACAACAAGGTATTATACAAGGCAAGACTAGTTGCACAAAAATATCCAGATGATTACACTGACACCTATTTTTCCACAGTCAGAGCCGAGAGCACCCTAGTAATAGCTTCCATATTAGGGCTTGAAGTATATCAATTCGATGTCCAAACAGCATACCTACACGCTAGATTAGATAAAAGTATCTATGTTAAAGCTCCACCAGGAATCGATGATAGGGACGGTAAAATGTGGCTCTTAAATAAGAGTCTGTATGGCCTAAAACAATCTGGCAAGAGATGGTATGACTGCCTAGCTAGGACTCTCAAATCAATAGGTTTTATGGCTACCTCAGCAGACAAATGTTTTTTTGTAAAGAGGGAAAATAATTTAATTGAAAATGTTCTTGTTTATGTAGATGATATATTATATATTGGTAAACATAAATACAAATGTGATGCTTTTGCTGCTGAACTTAAAAAACACTTTTCACTTAAATCCCTGGGGACTATTGACAAATATTTGAGAGTCCATATCACCAAGACAGATAAAGGATTTTGACTTTCCCAAAAAGAAAAAATCATAGAACTGCTCCATAGATGCAACATGAGGAAACCAAACCCAGCGAGATACCTATGCAGCCTGATTTTATTAATAACATGTACAACGAATCAAACCATTCACAGACAACAAACTATACAGATCCACTATAGGTTCACTGTTATACATAGCCAACTGGCTATGATATTGCTTTACCAGTCAACCTTTTGTCCAGGCATGTCAGTCATCCCACTGTTTACCATTGGGATGCAATCAAGAAACTACTCAAATACTTAAAATACAGCTCTGATGCATACTTATGCCTTGAACCAGATGTCTCGAAAGAACCAAAATTATCCTGCTATGTAGATGCTGACTGGGCAGGAGACATCAGAAGTTGGAGAAAAAGTACTTCTGGATACATTTTCTTCCTCAATAATAGCCCTATACACTGGTATACGGGCAAACAGAAGCTTGTATCTACCTCCACCACAAAGGCAGAGTTTGTATGCTTATCCACGGCCATTAACAACCTAACCTGATTCAACGATTTGCTCTGCAACATCTGGACTGAACCTTCATATCCAATTATTGTTCATGAAGACAATAAAGGTGCCATCGATATATCCAAGTCTGATGCTATTGGACAAAGATCACGTCACATAGACATTAAATACAAACACGTTAGACAACTAGCAGAAATTGGATTTGTTAAGGCCGTTCATTGTGAAACCGAAGAGCAAACTGCGGATATCCTCACCAGGCCTTTACAATGTAAACAACATGCCTATTTAATGTAAAAACTGTGTGTATATATGTAATGCTTATACAAATATATGTATATATATGTATATATGTTCAAAATCTACCTATCAGTTAGACATTTAGAGGGGGTTTTGTCAGATAAAATATCTAACTCTTGTATTTATTCTGCACTCTATGGTTTAGCATGGGTTAAATCCCTTAAACCCATCCCATTCCCAACTCCGCCTTACCTTTGACTCTTCCCTCTGGGTGTATAAGTCCTTGTCTGTAAAACTTCTCCATCAGATTTAGATGAATACCTATGAGATACAGAAGCAAGGTTATAGATGTATATGAATAGCTTAAGTTATATTCTCAAAAATAAATAAATAAGTTATTTCTGTTATTGATGAAGTACTGAGAGTTATTGGGCTAGATCCTAGAAATCTAACAGTTTAGCAAAGCTGAGAAGAGTAACATGCTAACAGAAAATCATTATTTAGTGAGACATTCTTAAAATGTTATGTTATGAAAATTTTGAATTGAATTTGTCAGATGTAAATGCCTTATTCCCTAATGTGTAAATAATGTATATATGGGATATCAGGGGTTAACTTATTCTTTGACTCTTAATGTATTCATAATTCACCACTCCCACTCTTGGCTCCACCCTTTGTATATATAAAGAGCCACCTTCACCATTTTCTTCGCTTCTATCTGTGAATATTCAGTGAATATAGAATGCCTATTATAATTAAAGAGAAATATATTTAAACCTCTAACTCTTATTATTATTATTGAGTCTGATCCTAAAAATATTGCAACAAACTGGTAGCAGAGGATGGTTAATTGACTCAATAAATACCTAAAAATGTCTAAGAAAGATAGGCCCAACACCAGGGCCTACAGCAAAGAAATAGAAACTGAACAAGAAATAATCAACGAATCCACAAACGCGATTTCGAGAGAATCCGAAGAATACACCACTGAAGAAGAAGAATTAATAAATGAAAATGATGGCCAGGAGGAAATCGAAATAGAAAATAACGAACTCAGGTCAGAGATACTGAAGTTATTAAAAAGCCAGAAGAATGATGAAAGCCTCATCGCGAACCTCCAAGAAATGCTGAAGAACAGCGGAGCAGCGAGAGAGAAAAACATCGCTAAAGAGAAACCCAAAGACCAAAAAACTGTGAGTGATATGACTACAGAGAAGGTCGTTATGAAAAAGAAAAAATGTGATCCCGCGCGAAATTTTGAATGGCAGCCATCTTGGTTTCAACAAGCCTCCAAAGTGAGCGAAGCAGAGCCAATCAAAATGCTCAGTTCAAAATTTCTGGCGCGAAAAACGTTATCAAACAACGAAAGTGAAAAGGAGGATTCAAACTCTTCGGAAGAGCCAGAATCAGAAAATGAAGACGACTTAACGAAATCCCAAGTAAAGTCAGCAATGAAGACGCTTTTTGCTGCATTTGGGCCAAAATTAAAAATTTCCAAAGCGCCAACGAAGAAGCAAGCGAACAAGCCGATACTTCAAGACCTGCACGCTCCCATCCTGACTTCGAGAAAGACGACGCCCGAGCCCAGAGAGCCATGTCGATTCCGCCCTACACCGCAGACCGAAGCAAGTGCCAACGCACCCAAAAGAAAGAGAAGAACAGTCGCCGCCATCAGAACTCCTAAGACCGAGCCAGAGACCGACTCGTCTGAAGAGGAGCGGAGCGAGCGAGCTACAATGGAGAGAACCTTCCACGACGACGTCAAAGAAGAAATGAACAACGCGCATGTGCGAAACTACGTAGACGGTCCGGAAAGACTTGAACTGGCCAGACAACCGCGCAGACTCGTTGCGAGCATCCCCATGCCGTTTTGCAATTTCCTACACTTGCGAGACCACGGACTACCTCAGGTTGTAAGTAATGGACAAAATAATGTGGGTAACTTACCCAGTGACTTCCCAAAACTTAGGGTTGATGGCATTAATTTACAAGAATGGTATCAACAGCTCCAGGTTGTCTTTATGAAAGAAAATTTACTATTTTTTATCACTAGTCCCCCAAGAAGACCTTGGACTTTAAAAATAGATTGTCTACACCATAAGGCATTTTTCTTAATAATATCTAGCGTGTCTCCTGCAATGTATCATAGCATCAAACCAAATCTAACTGTTTCAGAAATAATTCAATGCATGTTTAATTTGTTTCACAGCGATAGTGTAGCTACCACCACAAGAATGTCTAAGGACTTCTTTTCTTCCAGAGTAAAACCAGGGGTTTCCATAAGTGAGCATTTAATATCTTTAAACAAAATAAGAGCTGAGCTGCATTTGAGGGGGGAGGTGATTTCAGATCAAACAATGAAAAGTGTTATTATCAACTCACTTGATTCATCATGGGATAGTTTTATGTCACACTTAGACACCATCAATCTAGGATATTTATCAATAGAAAGTCTGTCTAACAAATTGATAGCAGAAGACAATTCAAGAAAAAATCGTTATAGCAATCACACAGAACACAAATCTTTTAGGAAGGTAGCTTTCCAAGAAAAATATAATGAAACTTTTAAATGCCACAATTGTGGGTCCAGGGAACACAATAGAAGAGATTGTCCCAAAATTTCAAAGGAAAGACATAGGTCAGAATATAGGAATAAATACAACTATAGACAGTCTTCCACAGATAGACATAAATATAGAAGCCCACCAAATTACAGAGAAAGTAGAGGGGGCAGAGAAAATTCAAAAGAGAGAAAATCTGGTTCACTGAATGGACTAAATAAACAAGACAGCACTAAAACGCAACAAAATGAGAACAATAATTGGCTTATTGATTCTGGGGCAACTAATCACACCACTAATAACAAAAATATATTGTCTTCATTTACAGAAGATAAGTTTGTAATAAAGGTAGCTAATCAAGAAAAAGTTCAAGTATTAGGCAGAGGGAATGTGACCTTGCCTGGTCTAGGAAAAATAGAGGGGGTATTGTTAATACCAGAAATACCTCATAACATACTAAGTGCCATAAAACTAAGCAAAGATTCTGACATCAATATAGTTTTCTCAAAGGGAAAAGCAACTTTAGAGAAGAATAAAACAAATGTAGGCACTGTGATGATTAAAGGAGGCCTACCCTATCTGATGACAAAAGAAAGATGGTTACATAACATTGATTCAAATATGGAAGATTGTATTGAGGCAGATGATGAAAATATTAGTAACAGTGACAATGATGAATGTAAAATATCTCATGATCACACAGACACACACAATGAGAAGAAACCAAAAATAGGTAAACCAATTCATGACGAGTGTGCTCATATCTTACATAGGAAGTTAGGACATGCAAGTTTTCCTGTAGTACAAAAAATGACTGAACACGCAGAAGGTGTCAAAATAAAAAATTGTGAAAATTATTTGGAATGCTCAGTATGTAAATCTACTAAATTAAAAACAATGCCAAACCCTGTGACACTCCTATGCAAACTGATTTCCTTAGAAATACTGATGAATCTTCCCCTGAATTCAAGGATAATACATTTTATAGATCAGTCATAGGTTCACTTCTTTATATATCTAATTGGACCAGGCCAGATATTGCATTACCACTCAATTTATTATCAAGGCACGTTAGCAAACCAACAATGTATCACTGGGAAGCTGTCAAAAGAATTTTAAGATATCTGAAAAGTACATTAGACTTTTGCCTAGTATTAGAACCTAGTGATAATAAAGAACCAAGACTTACATGTTACGCAGATGCGGATTGGGCTGGAGATATATCATGCAGAAAAAGTACTTCTGGTTATATTTTTCTGTTAAATGACTGTCCAGTTTACTGGTACACTGGTAAACAAGAACTGGTAGCCACTTCAACCACAGAAGCGGAATATGTTTGTTTATCCAAAGCTGCAAATAACCTTGTATGGTTTAATGATTTAATTTCAGATGTTTGGAAAAAACCTGCTTTGCCTTTTGTTATGCATGAAGACAATAAAGCGGCCATTGAAATATCTAGATCCGATGCCATTGGACAAAGATCCAGGCATATAGATATAAAATTTAAACATGTGAGACAATTGTCTCAAGATGGATTTATCAAAGCAGTGCATTGTGATACCTCTGAACAATTAGCTGACATATTGACGAAGCCTTTACCTTCTAAACAGCACAAATACTTAACTTCCAAATTGTATGTCTTATATTGTCCTGAATCTGAATGTAATTGGTGTTGTATAGCGAACCGGCATTTAGAGGGGGATTTGTCAGATGTAAATGCCTTATTCCCTAATGTGTAAATAATGTATATATGGGATATCAGGGGTTAACTTATTCTTTGACTCTTAATGTATTCATAATTCACCACTCCCACTCTTGGCTCCACCCTTTGTATATATAAAGAGCCACCTTCACCATTTTCTTCGCTTCTATCTGTGAATATTCAGTGAATATAGAATGCCTATTATAATTAAAGAGAAATATATTTAAACCTCTAACTCTTATTATTATTATTGAGTCTGATCCTAAAAATATTGCAACAGAATTGAAATATTATTTATCCAAAACCATTTATTATCACATTTGGAAAGTGGTTCTTTTAGGTAGGGGTCGGAGTGAAGAGACTTTCAAATCAGGAACAATATTCAGAAACTTGCTACTGATATTTATGTATGAATGCATTATTCCCAGTTGATATGTTGTATCTGCTTTACCATTTCATTCTGCAAGGATGGTTTAGGGCATGTGCTTCATGAACAGAAGCCTTCATGTCAAATAGCAAATTGATTTTGAAAGCAATGGGATTTTCAAAGCTGAATGTGGTATCATATGGAGATTTGTCTTTAATTTTTTTTTTAAAAAAAAGATGCCTGATGTGCTAAAACAGCTTTTTAAAATTTCTGATTCGTGTTTGTCTATACATTCCCCAACAGAATAGAGCCACTTCTAATAGATACTGAGCCTGCATAATAGCCATTGGGGTTGAGATGTAGTTATTAAAATAACTGGTGGAACAAAAAACGTGAGAGGAAAGAACAAGAGTAGTATTCATGCTGGGTAACCATGAAGGGTTATAATGCTCTTCTCTTTTTTTCCAAGAAATATGGTGTTATGTATGTATCTATTTTGTGCGGGAAATTCAAATGCAGGAATGCTTGTGATTGGTTAACGGTTATTTCAGAACTGTATATAAGGAGGGCTGTTGCCTGTATTTCTTTGCTGAAGTCTCACCCTGAATTAAAGAGCTGTTGTCACTAGCTTGCTTGTGCCTCTCGTTATTCCCGCGCTACAACATACAGTACATAGGAATGACTCTTCATT